CTTCTTCTTCTTCTTCTTCTTCTTCTTCTTCTTCTTCTTCTTCTTCTTCTTCTCTGTTGTGTTCTTTTTCACATTTTTTGTTCTAGTTTTTCTATGTTTCAATTATTTCTTCTTTGTTCTTCTGACTGACTATTCCTGCTCTTTTCTTTTGAAGTGACCCGGCCCAGTTTTGACCGGTTTTCTCCTATTCCCCTTTTTTTGGAGTTACATTTTATGTTTTCTTTCACACTACCCTCTTTCATCATAGAGCACGAAGTCGGTAAATCTTTCCTTACACGAACCAGAATGTAAAATTAACGTCCAAAACCAAAAACCACCAAGATATCATAAGGCTTCCCATCGTGTGATAAAGTGCATAGTTCCTTTGATATATTACTTCTTCGTTGGCATAGGAGAGGTGCCATTTATGTATCGACACCTACATACGTCATTGGAAGTTGTGACAACAGTCTTTATTCTGAGACAGAAATTGAACTAGTTCCAAAGGAGGAAGCTTATAGCAGTGATGTAGTGACACGACAGCAGGATATGGGCTCATGAGGAGGGAGATCGAATTGCAGTAGAAACGGGGAAAATAAAAGGGAAGCTAAAAATTGAAAAAGGAGAACAGGGTAATCGTAGAAAACGAAATAGCGAGGGGGCGGGGACGAGAGAAAGAGGGGAGTGGGCGAAAAATAAAGACATAGAGAGAGAGGGAGGAGAGAGAGGTGGATGGGGGGTAGAGGGAAAGAAGGAGAGGGAGAGAGAGAGAGAGAGAGAGAGAGAGAGAGAAAGAAAGAAAAGGAATACGACAAAAAGATATGGTATAAGAGAGAGAGAGAGAGAGAGAGAGAGAGAGAGAGAGAGAGAGAGAAAATAGCTCCCTCGTGTGTGTTTGTTTATATGTGTGTGTGTGTGTGTGTGTTTGTGTGTGGGTCTGTGTGTGGGTGTGCGTGCATGCGCGTGCGTTTATTCGTGTGTTTCTGAAGGAACAAAAGTACTAGAGGGATTAAGAAAGCGATTTAGTGAGTTTGAGTGAGAGATCTCCAGAAACACATAGGACGGGTGGATGTTGATAAGGGAGAGGGCACTAGAAAAAAGAAGATTAGAATTGTGTGAGCTAAATTCGGAAATTGATAGCAGGGGGACAGGGAATAGACATAGACAAATTGACCTAAAAAGGTGAGATGGTATAATAATATCGTTTCGACTGTTATTTAAGGAAAAGATTCACGCTGATTGATATTCACGAAATTTAGAACAAGGTTTCCAGATTTCGTACGTCATGAGAGAGAAATTCAAAATAACTTCAAGAAAAGGAGGGAGCTATTTCAAATTCAAGCCCGACAAGTTTAGCTTCATGTTATGAACCGCCCATGGGGAGAGTTTCAATCTTATCTCACAGTTCAACTTACCCAAAAAAAATTAAACAGACTTATAATGCAGGCCCTTAAATATAACGTGTTAAAATGTGAAACATACAACATGGTAAAACCAGGCACTTGTCAAAAAAAAAATTAAAACGAAGAAACCAATGTTTTCCCGAGCGCTTGGTATTACAGGTAACATAGTTATCTATTTTCATTTTGGCTCAACACCTTTCATGCCCTTATGAAACACATTTTTGGTGTGGATTTTATACTTAACTAGCTGGGTACCCGTTCGATGAACGAACTCAAAAGAACCGATCAAGTCATTATGGAATTGGTGCACACCGTTTGTGAATGGAAGACTCACTTGTTTACTATGGCGTCTTAAAAGATGGAATTTCCCAAGATTAGATCGAAACGAAACTAACGAAAACTGAAAATTAAAGTACAGAGACTTCAGACTCCTTAATATAACTGTGCAGCCTTTTTCAAATTGGAAAGTTAAATGGTTCGGAAGTTTTAGGCGACCAAATTGACGAACTTTCACAAAGATAATATAGATTACATTGATCATAGGCATACATTAAATTTGCAAATGTGCTGTTTTTTAAGGAAACCTAAGCTTTGAGTCACCAAACTTTGGTAGCCATGTTCCCGCTAATTATACTTGTTTGTGAACTTGTTTTCGTAAGAAGAAGAAGAAGAAGAAGAAGAAGAAGAAGAAGAAGAAGAAGAAGAAGAA